TGGTGTTTTCACTCAGCAAAAAGAGAGGCAGGGACAAAAGAATTTCTTCTGTGAAGGTCCTGTCTTTTTTATACAAAAAGAAAAATTTTCCTACGAGCCTCCCATTAGACTTTCTTTCCTATTTCAGAACTGAGTCTATATGCACTTTTAGACTAGTCACTGGTGACAAGACCTGGAATTACCAGGATTGGTTTGGACCACTGTAATTCATTTCCTGATTTGGTGAGAGGAAGTTACCTTCTTTGAAATCAAAGGATCTTCCTTCTGTCTGAACAAAACTGGGATCCTACCAATATGGAAGAAGTAACATAGAAAATAGCTTTTGGACAAGCATGGTGGAGACTGGCCTAATTTTTACTATGTCAGGTCTCTTGGGCACACAGATAGATTGTGTCATCTCCTAATCATTGCAGCAGTATCCATGTTCCTGAGTTACCACCAGTGTGATGTGTGCGAAGTAAATCTATGTGTTTGCTACCTGCAGGCCTGGCCTATAAAAACTTCCCACATGGGATGGCTCAGTTGGTTAAGCAGCTGCCTTTGGCTCAGGTTATGATCTCAGGGTCCTGGGATTAAGTCCCGCATTGGACTCTCTGCCCAGCAGGGAGTCTGCTTCCCCCTCTCTCTCTATGCTCTCTCTTCCTCCCAAGTAAATAAATAAAAATCTTAAAAAAAACCTTCCCACACAAATAATCCATATTTTCTCTTCCCTTTGTTTTTTTCTGGCCAGATACAAAGCATTCAGTGGAGAAATCCAATGCTCCAAGGAATGGTGAGCCTGCAAGAATCAAGATGGATCTGAAACATGTGGAAATTGGGCGTGCTAAAAAAGGCACAGGAGCGAGGTGCCTGGGTGGCTCAGTCGTTGGGCATCTGCCTTTGGCTCAGGTCACGATCCCAGGGTCCTGGGATCGAGCCCCGCATTAGGCTCCCTGCTCAGTGGGAAGCCTGCTTCTCCCACTCCCATTCCCCCTGCTTCTGTTTCCTCTCTTGTTGTGTCTCTCTCTGTCAAAAAAATAAATAAAATCTTAAAAAAAAAAAAAAAGAAAGACAAAGGAGCTTGAAAAGGCCCTCATTGACTAAATCTGGAAAATTTTAGCATGCAAATAATTAAGGACTGTAAGGAATAAACCATTGAAAAACACAGTAATCCATGAGTCTATATCATTAATAGATAACTAATTAATTAATAAGAGATAAGGGAGGATTGGTACAAGTAAGAACCATCAATAGATGCTAAATCTATGGGAACACATTTGATGAGGAGCAGGATATTTGCAGAGTCTAAGATGTCTCCCCATGGATTGCTTATTACAGAGAAAAAAATAGTAAATATACTGTGGAGGAATCAGACACCTCAACAAGGTGACCAAAATTATCATCACCCAATGAGGGAGAGAGTCATCATCCGACCTTGGGTTTGATATCCTGAGAAGGACACAATATCACAATATCACAATAGTATTCTGGCCAGGAATGGATAACTGGGGTCTAATAATGAATAAAGGTGAGACAAACATAAGCAACAAATTGGAAATGAGGAACATTCTCCTGTCCAAACAAAGGGGGCGGGCTGTACCCTTCAAAAATATCAAAGACAAAGAAAAGCTAAGGAACTGATACAGATTAAAGGAGACTAAAGAGACATGCAATATATGGATCCTCTTACTCGAAGGGGAAAATGGGTAAGAATGACGTTATTGGATTAATTGATGAAATTTGGAATATGGATGTAGATTGAAGTATGGTACCAATGTTAAGTCTCCTGGAATTGATAACGGTACACGTTGTGTATGTAAAAGAATGTACATATTCTTAGGACATTGAAGCATTAAGGGATAAAGAGGCATGGTGGATGCCATTTTACTTTCAAATGGTCAGAAAAAAATGGGTGTGTATGTGTGTTATCTATTTGAGACTGCAAGTGTTAGAGCAAAAGGGGCAATCAACAAATCCAAATTAATCAACAAATCCAAGTAAAGGATTTATGGGTGCTCTTTTTATTATCAACTTCTCTGTGTGTTTGGAATTATTTCCAAGTAAAAAGTTTTCTGGGATCTAGATTTTAAAAAACCACTGAGGATGCCCTCTTGTTTCAAAGGCTTTTTCCATGTTCTGCCTCTTATCCTTTCCTTCAGACCTTTTGTCTCACCTGGTTTCTCCCAGTTTTACAACTGTCAGCGTCTACTTGAATTCTCTCTCTCTCTCTCCTTTTTTTTTCCTGGACCCTTGGATTCACTATTTGTTCGGATAGTTGGACAAGTTTTTTGATTCAACTTCTCCTGTGACTCAGCCTTTGGGTCAGCTTCTCCTACTTGGTCTTAAGTAATGGAGCTCCTGAGCGAGTACTTCCTGTCTGCAACACTGAATCTAGGCTCTAGGCCACAGAGAAATATCATACCCTAGGTGAGATTCAATGCTTCCAACCGGCAACAGCTCCCTCTCTAGTGGCACTCATTTTGTCTAGGAGGAAAGAGCTCTCCTCTCTGACCCCTTCTCTCCAGGGTCTCTGCTTGACCAACCCTTCATCATAGCCTTCTAATTAGTCTCTGTTTCTCTAGTCTTTACATGTCCCAGTCAGCCATCCTTCTCACTGCCACTGCCTCTCTCCTTAAAGCACAGATTCCTTCATATTACCTGTTTGGCTAAACCTCTAAGAGTTCTTCATGGCCTTTAAAATCTGACTCAACCTAATTTACTAATTCCATATCTTGCCTTCTCTGCTGAAGGGTCGGCTCTTTCAGACCATGGACCATGCATTTTCTTTTTCGTATCTTTAATTTCCAATATAGTGCCTGGCACACAAAGATACTCAATAGACATTTGCTGAAGGGACAAATGAACCCAGCTACATTAAACTTGAAACTTCTTTGACCATGCCCTGTTTAAATATCTCCTTTTCTGGAGTCTTTAGCTCTGTCATTCAAGTCTTATATATGTCACCATGCATTTTTTTTTCCTTGTTGACTGTGAGCCAAGGGAATGTCTTATTCATTTTGCATCTGACCCAGTATCTAGGAGAATGCCTGGAGTAGAGGAGGCATACAGTTTGTTGGATGGATAAATGTATATTAGAGAGGGGGAAATAGTAGATTTTGAGAAGGTCTCCATGTAGTGAGGCCGACTGAAGGAATGACCTAAGAACCATGAACTTAGATCAGCAAGTACAAATAAGGTACAGGGAAGTAAATACACAGATGATGATGTAGAATTAAATAATTAGAATAAAATGGGAGTCAATCAGGAAAGGTTCCCTCAAGTTGGACTTTGAGATGTGTTTGAAAAGAGGAAAGGGACATAACTTGAGATAATAGGAGCCTAGAAGCATGTCACTGAGTTTGGTTGAGCCAAGTCATGGTAAGTAATTAGTGTGTTTGTAGCCTGCTTTTAGAGCAGGATCTATTCTACTCCAGAGCTCAAGTTCTGCCTTTTTCCTGGCTCCTCCCCAAGTGGGCATGCTCACCCACTCTCTGTATTTTGATGTTTCCCAGGTCAGCCCAATGCAGGACTTTATGTTCTCAGTTCCTGTGAAGATAAGCAAACAAAACTGCCCCGTGGGATTGAACACTTGCTAACCTTGGTCCTCTAGGGAAATAAACTTCCCTTTTCCCAATAAAACAGAACTGCTCCCAGTGCTGTTAAGTCAGAAAAGAAACCTTAATGAACAAACTAACGTAGAATTACCACTTCTTCACAAGAGTACTAGCACATCTTCACTTTTTTTTTCTTTTTGAGGAGATAGGGATCCAAATAGGTCAAGAATATATACAAGTGAGATCTGAGAAATACAGTGTAATAGCAGAATCTTGACTTAGCCACTTCTGTCCCCCTCCTCAAAGAGTATATGCAAACAACCATGATGCTGGACGGTCACTTTGTAGGGCTCAGATCATTGCTGCCTCCAGCACTTTGCAGGATAGAAAAAATAAACAGGTTACACTACTGTCTCTAAAAATGGTCCCCACTTTAGGAACAAGAACATTTTACACAGCGGGAGGTGCTTCTGAAGTCCTACGGAGAGAATCTCTTGACTCTGGGAGATGGCAACAGTCTTTCTTTTAGGATAACCTAGTTTTTACAGTGTCCATTTTTTCCTGAATGCTGTGTGTCCAATGCACTCCCGTTCCTGAATACCCAGTCTTACTATCTTCTGCTCGAGGCAAGAACGTTATGGTAGCATTCGCTCACTGCACGTTTTGAGGGGCTGGGTCCAGAGCACAGCTGCTCCTTCTCACCTCGCAATGCACACAGTTTTCCTATGGCGGGCAGCGGTAGTCTCCTAAGCGGCTCCTGATGTACGAGGAGGCTTCCAGATCCCGTGCACGGATGCCACTCTGCCAGAACGACTCTAGATGGCAACGAAACGTTTAAGCCTAAACTGAGGTAATTCCTCACCAGCAGGGGGGCTTCCCGGGTAGGCACTGCTTCACCGCGCGCTGCCCAATCTCTGGGGGTGTCACACTAGACTGTGATGATGTCACACTGGCTGGGATGACATTTCACAGCTGGACCCCCCCACCGCCACCAAGCACCTTTAAATCACCGCGGAGTCTGTCGCGCGGAGGGGGCGGGGAATCCGGCCCTCGCACTCGATCCACGCTGGCTCCCCACGGAGGCCCCCCCACTCCCACTCCCATCTGTACTATGCTGTCCTCCTAATCCGCCCGCTCCTCGACACTTCCGCCTCAGTAGGTGTCATGGCGCTGGACTGTGAATGGTTCCCGCGGGGCGGGGCCGCCGGATGGGGGCGGCCGCTCGGCGCTCGGCTCGTCGGGTCTGGCGACAACGGCGGCTCCGGAGCGAGGGGCCCGGCGGTGGCCCCGGACGGCAGCGGGAGGCCGAGGCGGGAGCGCGCGGGGCTGAGGCGGCGGCGGCGGCGGCCAGGGGCCGGGCGGCGGAGCGGGCGGGAGGCTGAGGGGGCGCCCCCCGCGGGACGGGCGCGGGGACGGCTCCGGGGGGCGGGGGCCGGGGCCCGGGCCGGCTCGCGCGGGGGGTATGATGACCCGGCGACGGGGCCCCGGATCTCGTCTCCTCCGCCGCCTCCTCACGGCAGCCCCAGCTCGCGGCTGAGAACCAGACCCACCGGCGGTGAGTGGGACCGGGCGGGAAGGGGCCTTGGCGGGGAGCGAGCTCCCATCCGCTTCCCGAGGCGGGGCCGGGAGGGCCGCGGGCTCTCGGGGGCGCCCGGCCTGCGGGGGGGCGCCTCCCTGGGCGCGCCCCCACCCGGGACCCGGTGCCTAGTCCGGCGGCCCGGCCGCTAGCGGCCGCGGAGGAGCTTGCGTTCCCGGGAAAGCGAGGAGGCTCCGGGCTTGTGTTCGGGGCAACTCCCCCTGCCTCCTGCCACTTCTCTTTGGGGCGTGTTGTTGTCCTCAGATGACAGGGGGCCGCCTTGCGCCTCCTCACCCGGCCGGTTTTTCCCCCGGCCGTCGTGGCAGGTTCCCATCGTGTGGCTTGTGCGTGTGTATTTCACAGCTCTGCTTATCACCATGGTTTTGGGTTATTTGTGCTCTTTGCGACCAGGAAGCGGTGTCTGGAAAGGACGGCGGTGGCGGGGTGGGTGTGGAAGCTTTTCTATCCTCTCCGCTTCTGTTCTTTAATCGTTAGGTTTGTAATTTGTAATGATGGTGGAGACTACGTGGGACCAGCCCACCTAATGTGTGTCTGTGCAAGGCGGATTTAGAGGTCTGGCTCGGAGGGAAACTTTTGCTGTCTGTCGCCACTTTTCCAAAGCTTTCGTTTAAAGAAAAGAGAGAGAGAAAAGGTGAGGAAACAACCAAAAACTCTTGGGTAAGGCCCGTACTGTTCGCAGGTCTGTGGGAAAGAGGCCCTTTTTGTGTTTAGCAACCGGGACTTGGGGCTCGGTCTCCAAGAGCGCTGGTCTAACCTCCAGTTTGTTGTGGTGACAAACCGTGAGCACTGGCCTTGTGTTTATGCTGGGCGCGTTTTCTTTCCTGTTTAGGTGGGGGAAGGGAGGAGGGGCTCGAGAAGGGGAAAAAACAATCCTCAGCCTCAGTATGTCTTTCTTGCACGTAAAGCACTCCCTCAGCTCGTTTTGAGGAAGCCCTAGGTGCTTTTTCTTAGCGACACTTCGGGAATTTTCAGAAATTGCATCAAAATATTCATTTCAACTGTAGACTCTTCTGCCTAGTCTGTCCTTTATCTTATTTGTTCCCTAGTAACTGATGAAAACAGCAGCCTGGCTTCCTGCTCTTGATGAAATGGGGTTAAATTAAGTGGCTGATGCCCTCAGCAAAACCTACAATTTTGCTCTTGTTTGTGTAAAGCTATTTTTGATTCCTGGTCTGTAGTGTGTGTGCTTTGAAGATTGTTGAGATTTCAAGTCATTACAGGCTTTTACTTATATAGGTCTAAAGCTTTCTGAAAACATTTAAAAAATCTAACAAGTCCTGTTACCTGTGATTTTGGATCTTTACATGTAATTACCCCAGAATTCTGTGTTACAATACTGGTATGAAGGAAGTATATCTGTGACTTTAAGATACTGTTCCTTGCTGGGAGGATATTTTAGTAAAGTAACTTGTGGTTGGAACTGGAGGCAGCCAAGCCAGTAAAGCATCTGATGAGTAAAATGGTGAGTGAGATCTTGTAAATATGTATACTGGCTCTAGTTGGTAAGTAGGACTTCTGCTGGTGATACTCATAAATAGTTTATACCATTTTTGGATATTGTAGTTTTATGGATTGTAGAGTAAGTTGGTTGGTAACTTGAGATTTAAAACCAAACCAAAACTCCCTCCTAAAAGAAAAAAAGATAATCTCAAAATTCACAATTCTCTGGAAAATAGAATTTCTTCATTCTGTGGTTTTGTTTTCATAAGCACAGCTCAGTCAGTGGTTGTGTTGGGAGAAATCAGTGAGCCAAACCTGCCTTGTAAACTTCTTACACTTGGAACTTGCACAACTTGTTGTTAGTTATATATTGTAACTGGTCTTTTTGTAATTTGAAGTAATTTTGCAAACATGAACTTCCTGATCTGCCCTTTTTCATTTTCACGACTGCATAAAGCAATCCATATGTTTTTAGCTTTTTTTTTCAAGTTACAGTTATTAATTTCTCCCTAGTCTCTTCTCTTACATTTCCCTTACATTGTGCCATTCTGAACACAACCCATCAAAATCATTTTTCCTTCAAGTACCACTTCAACAATCAGTGATTTGCTTTTTGGTTCCTTTTTTGTTCCTAACTTCACAGCTCCCTAAATGACTTATGTATTTTTGTAGAGCATAATTTGGCTCTGTAAAAAAACTTTTTATATCCTGTTTTTATATTTTTCTCTTTCTTTCTTTTTCCTCTGTGTGTGTGTGTGTGTGTATGTGTGTGTGTGTGTGTGTGTGTATGTGTGTTACATCACCTAAGCAACATTCTAAACTCCTAGAAGATAGGGAAGCTTATGTATATTTCTTTTGGATTCTTTAAGGGCACCTGGTACGGTGCTTTCCCAGAGTGCTTAATGGAAAAGAATCAGAAGACCTGAATTCTTTGCCAGCATTACAACTCATTAGCTCTATGTAAAACTTGTTTGCCTTTCTTGGGTCTCCTTTTTCTCACCTTGGAATTAGGGGGTTTTGGAAAGAGTCTCATCAGGTCCGTTTTAGCTGTAAGAATCCCTGTACTTTTTTGCCAGTGTTTTTTGCTTCAGTCGAGTACATCTCCTTACTTGAAACAGTTTTTCATTTTTCCACATTCCCTGGCATACTGGCAAAAATTATCTCATTAATCTGAAAGAAGTTATTCCACCTTCTATCTGCCAAAGTATTGTTACCTTATTTAAGTCCTCTTTTCCTTAGGCCTTTGCTGACTGATCTAAACAGGGTCATCTCAAGATTCATGTTCTATATTGATGTTTACTTTGTTAATTTGACATTTTCCTTATGCTTGAAACTCCTTAAGGTATAGCTTTCTTCATTCTAAATTTTATAGGCCTTGTAAACTGTTGGGTGCACATACCAAGATCATACCTTTTTACCAAAGACAAAAAATACGTACTTTTCTTTTGTTCTATTGCTATAGATTCATTATTCCAAATAATGGAGAGATTGAAATTTAGGAAAAGATATCCTGCCTAGAAGGATAGTTTACCAAAATATTACAAAATATTGATTATATGGCCGTAAGTTACATAGAATTGTAGAATTACTCTTTCATCAGCTAACACCACTTATTCCACACCCTCTCTTTGCATACTAGTTGGGTAATTGGCTTGCTGGTTCCTTATGAAGGAAAGTGTTACAGGAAAGGGGTGGTGGACTTTCATTCAAATAGCGTTCTTAGGGTTTCATGCTTATTTTTTCCTTCTGTATCACTACACTTAGAAAACTAGTTTAGGTATTCTCTTGTAGGCAAGAGACTATAATTTCTATTTCAGTTGATTATTTCTCTAATTCAGTCAGTATGGCACCTGAGATCCCCTTATGTTTACATATGGAGAAGTAAAGATCTCTAGTCATTCATTCTAACAAACATTTGACACATACCGTATGTGATAGATGCTGGTGATACCCACCCCCAAAAAGATACCTACACTGGTATTTAGAATTACCCTTACAGAATTTGCAGTTTAGAAGTCAACTTTTCTTTTGGAGAGAGGGAGGGAGGAGGGAGAGAGGCAGAGAGAGAGAGAGAGAGAGCATCTTGGGCAGGCTTCATACCCAGCGTGGAGCCTGTTTCAGGGCTCAGTCTCACAACCCTGAGATCACATCCTGGGCCAAAATCAAGAGTTAGACGCTTGACTGACTGAGCCACCCAGGCATCCCAAGAAGTCAGCTTTTAAATAGTCATACTTAGAATAACATTTAGGGTGGCCTCATGAGTTAATATGTGATCTGGCTCTTGTCTGCCTGCTTCTATTATTTTCTTTTCTATTCTGTTCCATCTACACTGCTCTCTTCTTCAAATAAGCCAAGAATGTGCCTTGGCACTAACTGTTCTCTTCCACTGGAATGGCCTCTTCTTGTCAGTTAGATCTTAGCTTAAGTGCCACAATCTTACAAGGCTTTCCTTGACCACCAAATCTAGAGTATCTCTGCCCCTCCCACCATCTCTGTCATATCATTGTGTTTTGTTTTCATCATAGCTTCTGTTTTCTTAGGGGATATATGTGTGTTGTTGTCTTCCCAGAAGAAAGTAAATTCCAGGAGACAAGGGATCTTGTCCATCTGGAACACCACTGTTATCCCTAGTTTCTAGAACAGTGCCAGGCAGACAGACTAGGTACTCAGTATATGTTTGTCAAATGAGTAAATGACATAAATAAGTACAGGTGTCATAAGTACTGAGAAGTGGTAGAGGATGCTGTGGGAGCCTTTACCAGGAAACCTAAGCTAGTACAAAGTGACCTGGGCAAGGCTTTCCTGAGTGTATTTGTCAGCATAAGGCTGACTAACACATACATAATCTAGGAAAATAGTTTTTCTTTCATGTGACATCCTGAAGTAAGTGTTCCAGGTTCAAGTGAGCATTCTTGGTGGGCAGGTGGTTCTGCTCTTACAGGATCATTCAGAGACAGTTCTTTCCAGCTCTAGTTCTGTCATCCTTGAGCATTGTTTCATGGTAGGAGCTGGGTCTCCATGGGTTTTTGCTGGTGAACATAGCCATGAGCCTGGGGTGAAGGAGAGAGTAGATTTTGATCCAAACCAACAGTCTATATAACCACACTGAAAAAAATGGAGACTAACAGGATAAGTAGAAATTAGAAAAAGAGAAGACTAGGAGGGGACAATGAAGTTCAGAGAGGAAATATTATGTGTAAAGGAACTAGGATGGGAGAAATCAGGCCTACTCTAGGAAATTTGGAGATTTTGTACTTTATCTCAAGTTTTTTTTTTTTTTTTTTTAAGATTTTATTTATTTATTTGACAGAGAGAGATCACAAGTAGATGGAGAGGCAGGCAGAGGGAGAGAGAGAGAGGGAAGCAGGCTTCCTGCTGAGCAGAGAGCCCGATGCGGGACTCGATCCCAGGACCCTGAGATCATGACCTGAGCCGAAGGCAGCGGCTTAACCCACTGAGCCACCCAGGCGCCCCATATCTCAAGGTTTTAAGCAGGAGACAGATAAGCATTTTTTTAA